TAGCTTCATTGAATTTCATGAGGTGTCCAACATCGTCTCTATGTTGAACACATGCGTTTTTGCGGTCATCATTTCTGCAAGCATTTTTGTGTTCTGCTATTCTAATGTCCAGAGTTCTGGCTGTTTCCCCTACATATACTTTGTCACACCCCCCACATGGTATAGTGTAGATTCCTGCACTTGTGCCAGAATCATGCTTGGGTTTTTGTATCAGGTTCCTAATAGTAGTTGAAGAGCTGGTAGATATTTTAGCCAGTTTTCTGTCAAACATTTTTGAAACATTGGTGGCAACGTTGCTGACCGGTAAAACGATGTAACTTGGAGGCTTTTCTTCAATTTGATAGGTGTTGGTCTTGCTGAGGATACGTGTTGCACGTTTCCTGCAGTCACGTATGAAGTGTAGGGGAAAGTGTAGTGAACTAAAAGAGTTGGTGATGTATGTACATTCTTCTTCGAGGAACTGCGGACTGGAAATTCTGTAGGCTCTCAGAAAGAAGCCAATAACTACCCCTCTTTTAGTTCTTGTGTCATGGTGAGAGAAGAAATGTAGAAGATCATTCTTGTAGGTAGGCTTCCGGTAGACTTTAAAAGAAAGTTTGCTTTCCCCTGTGCGTAAGAGAACGTCGAGAAAAGGTAACTGGTTGTCCTTCTCCTCCTCTAGAGTAAATTTAATAGTAGGTTCCAGATTGTTGATGGTGTTGAGGATGCCCTGTACGTCAAGATTTTTGGGTACAATGACCAAAATATCATCTACGTACCGCATCCAAGTAACTGAACGAGGGATGTTATTGAGGATCCTTCTTGATTCCAGGTCCTCCATATATAAATTGGCAAGAACTGCACTAAGGGGGGATCCCATGGTAGTTCGAAGAGTTGTTTGTACTTCTTGTCCTCGAACCTAAAAACAGTTATAACGAACACAAAGTTCGACAAGGCTCACAAAATCTTGGCGGGGTACAGGTAACTCTGTATCATCTTTAATCACCCTGCGAAGAAGATCAATGGCTTGATCAACTGGGACATTGGTGAATAAGGCAGTCACGTCAAAACTTGCAAGCTTCTTATCACTCATGTCGAGATCCCTGATACCGTATACAGGATCTCGACATGAGTGATAAGAAGCTTGCAAGTTTTGACGTGACTGCCTTATTCACCAATGTCCCAGTTGATCAAGCCATTGATCTTCTTCGCAGGGTGATTAAAGATGATACAGAGTTACCTGTACCCCGCCAAGATTTTGTGAGCCTTGTCGAACTTTGTGTTCGTTATAACTGTTTTAGGTTCGAGGACAAGAAGTACAAACAACTCTTCGGACTAGCCATGGGATCCCCCCTTAGTGCAGTTCTTGCCAGTTTATATATGGAGGACCTGGAATCAAGAAGGATCCTCAATAACATCCTTCGTTCAGTTACTTGGATGCGGTACGTAGATGATATTTTGGTCATTGTACCCAAAAATCTTGACGTACAGGGCATCCTCAACACCATCAACAATCTGGAACCTACTATTAAATTTACTCTAGAGGAGGAGAAGGACAACCAGTTACCTTTTCTCGACGTTCTCTTACGCACAGGGGAAAGCAAACTTTCTTTTAAAGTCTACCGGAAGCCTACCTACAAGAATGATCTTCTACATTTCTTCTCTCACCATGACACAAGAACTAAAAGAGGGGTAGTTATTGGCTTCTTTCTGAGAGCCTACAGAATTTCCAGTCCGCAGTTCCTCGAAGAAGAATGTACATACATCACCAACTCTTTAGTTCACTACACTTTCCCCTACACTTCATACGTGACTGCAGGAAACGTGCAACACGTATCCTCAGCAAGACCAACACCTATCAAATTGAAGAAAAGCCTCCAAGTTACATCGTTTTACCGGTCAGCAACGTTGCCACCAATGTTTCAAAAATGTTTGACAGAAAACTGGCTAAAATATCTACCAGCTCTTCAACTACTATTAGGAACCTGATACAAAAACCCAAGCATGATTCTGGCACAAGTGCAGGAATCTACACTATACCATGTGGGGGGTGTGACAAAGTATATGTAGGGGAAACAGCCAGAACTCTGGACATTAGAATAGCAGAACACAAAAATGCTTGCAGAAATGATGACCGCAAAAACGCATGTGTTCAACATAGAGACGATGTTGGACACCTCATGAAATTCAATGAAGCTAAAATAGTTATTAAAGAAGACAACTTAAGACGGAGAAAATGCATTGAAGCTGCACTAATTTCTGTCAGTAACACTATAAAGCAAAAATCCGGTAGTTACAGTATTTCAAAATTACTAAGCAAGAGGATATTACCCATCCTGGGAACTGGTGTTACTTGATGCCAGCAGGTCCCTCTCTAACCTCACCTCCTTAGTTCCATTACTACTACTACTACTATTACCACCTCTACCCACGCTTCACCTCACCTGACTCCCACCACTATATATATGTGTGTTTTCTTAGTTTTCTCTGTATTAGGACTGAAGAAGCCACTCGTGGCGAAACGTTTCCTTTAATAAATGTCCTGAACTGTACATAAGTGTCTTTTCCACATCTTGTCGGTATCACCATACCATTTCCTCACAGAAAGTAGGCAGGAACAGTAGAAGAAGCCTACTGTGTAGGCGAAACGTTTCGGAATAAAGTTGCCTAACTGTTGCCTATGTGTCTTACCTACCAACCAGGAATATAATTGAATCTTGTTTCATAAAAAGCAGTTTTGACAATAATATGAATATTTCCTTTGGTTTAAATAAATTAGATCCATTTATAATTAATAGAATTTGGGAAGAATTTAATAATACACTGGACAAATAATTTTTAAATTTTCTTGGGTAGAATAGTTTGTGGGTGAGTTGTGCAAAGGACCTATCCAAGTTGGGTCGGCGCGCGTCAGGTGTTTAACCGTTGTGGGATCTGAAATTGAGGTGCTGGCCAGACCCCTTATATAGCTTCCTTGGATGCTTTACTTTCATAGTTCCTTGATAATGTGAGTAGTCACGAAAGCGTTTGGAATTTCTCTATTCTTTCAGAGTGGTTGTTTTGCATATTCTGAAATCACCTGCTTACTGTGATCTTATTGCTTATATATATATATATATATATATATATATATATATATATATATATATTATATATATATATATATATATATATATATATATATATTATATTATATATATATATATATATATATTCTGTGCACGTTGTACATTATTAAGGTAGATCTCTTCGTTATCGCTAGTATGATCATCGTCAATAAAATCGTTAGCTAGATTACCCCAATCGAAATTAGACAGGTGTACACTAATTCCAGTATAATCGACAGAACTAAAATCAGGGACTTTTACCGTATTATCCTTATTTTCATATTCCCATATAATATTAAAGGCAATGGATTTGTGATCACTTGCGCCAAGTTCTTCAGTGATCTCCAGATTATTTACGAGGGTTTATTTGGCAAGACTAGGTCAAACAAATTATCACCTCTGGTAGGCTCAGTTACACACTGTTTTAGAAAGCAGTCCTCTATCGTTTTCTGTGCCAGGAGGACGATATATCACACCTCAAAAAAGATTTTTCTTTACTTTCTAGAAATTCTACTCACACAGATTCTGTTACTAATCCATCTATTTTTATACCTGTTTTATGCCACAGTTTTGATTTTTCTCGTACATACAACACAACTTCACCCCCTTTCGCAATGGCATCAAAATTCCTAGTACATGCTGTCAAACTTATTTCATTAATTTTATTTCTGGCACTTCGACAATTAGAATAAAATACATTAATATATTTTATCTTCAGCACCTTTCTCCTGTTTACCTTTGTTATTATCATTACCCGGTGTTACTCGATGACTTATTATTAAGATTTGTATTATCAATGCCTAAGTCAATATTTTCACACCCATTGTCTTCCATTTCTAAATCCATACTTCTAATTAATCCTAGTTTAAAGTCCTAACAACACCCTCAACTGAACTAGCAAGAAAATCCACACCTATCCTGGATAAGTGAACCCCATCCCTGGCATACATGTCGTTTCTATAGTAGAAGTGGTCCCAGTTGTCAATGAATGGTACTGCATTATCCTTAGAGTGCTTGTCCAGCAAACAATTAATACCAGTTGCTCTGGACAACCATTCATTTCCAAAGCCCCTTCTTGGCAAAATGACACATATGTTAGGGCGCCTTTCCCCTTCTTCTAATTATGTGTTTTGTTGTCCTATACCTTCTAATTAAATTCTCATTTCTACACTTACCTACATTGCCTCCAGCACTGAGACAAATAATAGGATTGATCCCATATACCATTCATGATGTTATCAAGCTGGCTAACAATATCCTCCATCCCAGCCCCTGGAAAGCAAACCCTGTCTCCTACTCCTATCCTTCAGGCAGAAGGCCCTATCCATGTACCTAATATGACTGTCTCCAACAAACACAATGCTCTTACCTTTCTTGTTGCTCTTTGTCGTGACATACCCAGTAATCGCCTCAAATTCGTCAAGTAGCGTGAAAAATGGTTTGAATTTTCCACAGTAGCCTCCTGGTTCTTTGTCGTTTCTACCTCTCCATCCCTCCTCATGATCCTTAGCTTTGTTCCATGATGTCCGGCAACTGTCCAGGTTCCTTCCTTGGCTTGAGAATTCACAACGGGAGGATTACTACGAATCCTCTTGTTTTCCTCCGCCAATTGCCGTATCTCGAGCTTAGCCACCCTAATCTCCTCCTTAAGCTCCTGATAAGATTGTTCAATGGAGGACATCTTGGTTCAGATTCAAACACAAAACACTAGACACGTCGTCACAAACAGTACACTAGACACGTCGTCACAAGTGCACGTCTAATATTTACTAATGATATATTATTTAATGAAGGTTCAGCAGAATGTAGTCTGCTGATGTGTACCCAACATTTTTAAGAATATTTCTAAAAAAAATTATTTGAATTCAGAATTCATTAAATTAACCAGATGCAAATTTCCTTGTAACTTCTCAGGTTTGGGAATTTCAAGTGCAGTAACGACCAGTGCGTGAAGCTGAGCCTGAAGTGTGATGGAAACAAAGACTGCAGTGACGGTAGCGACGAGTCGAGTACACTTTGCCCTTACCTACGCTCAGGAGACACTATCGCTCTCAAGTCATTATGTGGAAGCTTCTTAAGTGGCTACCATACCTTCGATTATAACCCAAAAAGAAACGCGCATGTGAGTGCTTGCCCCGGGGAGCGAATGCTCGATGAAGGCTGGAGTAGATGTTGGGGTGAAAGATTTCCTCTCTGGGCGATAAAGCGAAATAAGGGTGATGCTGTAAGGTATGGAGACAAGGTGGCCATCAGGTATAATAGTTCTAATAGTGACTCAGGCTGGTGGTTCAGCTGTCCAACTGCAAGTGAATCCTGTACTACCCAACCCTGTCCAGGTGAGAGCTTCACGAGAGATGAAGAATCACGCTGTGTAAATGAAATCTTCAGGATTTATGCCCTAGGTAAGGAAGGTTCATGTTCCACTGATACTGCGATCGAATGTTCGGGAATGCCACTGTACCCAGGGGACACTGTATTCTTACTTTCACGTCATTCGAAGCACTGGATGTCAGCGCAAGAAGATGGGGCGGATGTCTACACCAGGACCTGTCCGGATCAACACTTGCAGGAAGAAGATGCAGTGAACTGCAAATGCGAGGAATGGCTTTTGTTTAGGAAGTAATCTGAATTTTACTTTCTTTGTTTACACTTCATACTACTAGACTGACCTTAATTAATGGTAGATTTTTCATGGGTGAAGACTGTTCATTGTGGTAGACAGATTATTGGGGTAGACTGTCAAAGGTGGTAGACAGTCCAGAGTGATAAACTGTCCCTTGTGGTAGATTATCAATGGTGGTAGATTATCAATGGTGGTAGATTATATGAGATTGGTTATTTATAGAGGTAAAATATCCACGACGGTTGATCATTCATGGTTATAGAACGTCCATTACAATATATGAGCCATTTTGGCGGATTATCCATGATGGATTATCCTTAGTATATGATTATCTATAGTACTAGAGTATCCAGTGTCATTTCATCCTTGGTGGTAGGTTATTATAATGGCATTTAATCAATTGTAAGAATTTATTCATAGAAATATATAGTAGATTGCGCTAGATTATCCATCGTAAAAGACTAATCATGTGAAAGGTTATCCACAGCAGCAGTTTTTACATAGTTGGAGAGCATCCAAAGTTGTATTCTTAGAATATTATGTATTAAGAATATAATCTTGTACAGTATTGTACCGTTGTATGCGGATGGAACTGTTGTACCTGGATAATAAAATCAACAAAGATCTTTTCATTTTGATGTACCTCGGATTTTCTCAGGGAAAGTGTGTATGCTAATAGATTTTATATTACATTAGCAAAAATGACATTAATTTTCTTAAGAAATACGCCCAGTACATATTATATATGCCTAGCCTCGGGTAGAAACCCATACTTTTCTGGGATCTGGCAGCACTTAAGGTATTGCGTACTTTGATACCGAGTGTGCAAGTTCGAATCTTTCTGAGGACCGAGGACCGAGTGATAATGTTTCTATATATATATATATATTATATATAATATATATATATATATATATATATATATATATATATATATATATATATATATATATATATATATATATATATGCAACAAGATCACAGTAAACAGGTGATTTCAAAATATGCAAAACAACCACTCTGAAAGAATAGAAAAATTCCAAGCGCTTTCGTGACTACTCACATTATCAAGGAACTATGAAAGTGAAGCATCCAAGGAAGCTATATAAGGGGTCGGCCAGCACCTCACTATCAGATCCCACAACGGTTAAACACGTGACGCGCGGCGAGCCAACTTGGACAGGTCCTTTGCAAAACTCACCCCCAAGCTATTTATTTGTCCAGTGTATTATTAAATTCTACCCAAATTCTATTAATTATAAATGGATCTAATTTATATAAACCAAAGGAAATATTCATATTATTGTCAAAACTGCTTTTTATGAAACAAGATTCAATTATATTCCTGTCGACCATGGACTTGCTTGATACTACTTTCTCAACTTTTTGAAAATCAATTGGATGGTTAAAATCTCTTACATGAATAAATAGAGCATTGGAATCTTGTCCAGTTCTAATGCTATATTTATGTTGTTTTAATCTTAGTTCGAGATTTTTACCAGTTTGACCGTAATAAACTTTATCGCAAATTTTACAAGGAATCTTATAGACACATCCATCAGCATTTTGGGGGGAATTCTTAATCAAAAGTTTTTTTACTGTATCAAGATTTTTGAATACAACTTTAATATTAAAAGTCTTAAGAAGAGAAGGCATATCAACCAAGTTTTCATGGTAAGGGAGAACCAACATATTTTTAGTTGAATAAGGCTGGTTGCCCTTTTTTGGATTATAAAAAGTATTCCTAGCAACTTTAAAAGATTTATCAATTATATTTCTTGGGTATTTTAAATCATTACCTATTTCATAAATTTTGGATATTTCCTCATCTATGAACTCAGGACTACAAATTTCGTAAAGCTCTCAAAAACATTGATGAGAAAACAGACAGTTTGACTCTATCTTGATGCGAGGAATAATAGTGGACATAGGAACAGTTATTTGTAGGTTTTCTGTAAATTTTAAATTTGAATTCATTATTACCCTTAATAATTAAAACATCTAGAAAAGGCAATGAGTTATTTTCTTCAACTCAACAGTAAGTTTATAGAATGGGCTAAGCTATTTAATTTTCCAAGAAAATGGTGTATATCTACATTTTTGGGCATAAGACACAAAATATCATCAACATATCTGAACCATTTAGCTCTATTAGGGAGGATTGTGTTAAGCAACCTTGTTTCAAAAAATTCCATGTATAGGTTACTAAGAACAGGTGAAAGAGGATTTCCCATTGCCATGCCAAACTTCTGAGTGTAAAATTTATCATTAAATACAAATTTTGCATCAACAATGCAAAGTTTAATAAGTTTAATGATAGTAGGAACTGGCAATGGTAAATCATAGTTAATGATTTTAACATGGTTAGTTTTGATGTTACTTCCTTGTTTACGAAAGTTCCTGTTGATGATTTATTAAGTTTCTTATCTGAAGAACTCGTTAACTATGATTTACCATTGCCAGTTCCTACTATCATTAAACTTATTAAACTTTGCATTGTTGATGCAAAATTTGTATTTAATGATAAATTTTACACTGAGAAGTTTGGTATGGCAATGGGAAATCCTCTTTCACCTGTTCTTAGTAACCTATACATGGAATTTTTTGAAACAAGGTTGCTTAACACAATCCTCCCTAATAGAGCTAAATGGTTCAGATATGTTGATGATATTTTGTGTCTTATGCCCAAAAATGTAGATATACACCATTTTCTTGGAAAATTAAATAGCTTAGCCCATTCTATAAACTTTACTGTTGAGTTTGAAGAAAATAATCATTGCCTTTTCTAGATGTTTTAATTTTTAAGGGTAAAAATGAATTCAAATTTAAAATTTACAGAAAACCTACAAATAACTGTTCTATGTCCACTATTATTCCTCGCATCAAGATAGAGTCAAACTGTCTGTTTTTCATCAATGTTTTTGAGAGCTTTACGAATTTGTAGTCCTGAGTTCATAGATGAGGAAATATCCAAAATTTATGAAATAGGTAATGATTTAAAATACCCAAGAAATGTAATTGATAAATCTTTTAAAGTTGCTAGGAATACTTTTTATAATCCAAAAAAGGGCAACCAGCCTTATTCAACTAAAAATATGTTGGTTCTCCCTTACCATGAAAACCTTGGTTGATATGCCTTCTCTTCTTAAGACTTTTAATATTAAAGTTGTATTAAAAAATCTTGATACAGTAAAAAACTTTTGATTAAGAATTCCCCCCAAAATGCTGATGGATGTGTCTATAAGATTCCTTGTAAAATTTGCGATAAAGTTTTATTACGGTTCAAACTGGTAAAAATCTCGAACTAAGATTAAAACAACATAAATATAGCATTAGAACTGGACAAGATTCCAATGCTCTATTTATTCATGTAAGAGATTTTAACCATCCAATTGATTTTCAAAAAGTTGAGAAAGTAGTATCAAGCAAGTCCATGGTCGACAGGAATATAATTGAATCTTGTTTCATAAAAAGCAGTTTTGACAATAATATGAATATTTCCTTTGGTTTATATAAATTAGATCCATTTATAATTAATAGAATTTGGGTAGAATTTAATAATACACTGGACAAATAAATAGCTTGGGGGTGAGTTTTGCAAAGGACCCCGTCCAAGTTGGCTCGCCGCGCGTCACGTGTTTAACCGTTGTGGGATCTGATAGTGAGGTGCTGGCCGACCCCTTATATAGCTTCCTTGGATGCTTCACTTTCATAGTTCCTTGATAATGTGAGTAGTCACGAAAGCGCTTGGAATTTTTCTATTCTTTCAGAGTGGTTGTTTTGCATATATATATATATATATATATATATTATATATATATATATATATATATATATATATATATATATATATATATATGTCGTGCCGAATAGGCAGAACTTGCGATCTTGGCTTAAATAGCAACGCTCATCTTGCCATATTGGACAAGTGAAAATTTGTGTATGTAATAATTTCGCCAAAATCATTCTGAACCTAACGAAAAAAATATATTTCACTGTGTTTGTTTAATACTAAATTATTGTAAACGTATTTAAAAAATATTTAGTTGGGTTAGGCTAATATAAATTGCTGTTGTTATAATAAGGTTAGGTAAGTTTTCTAAGATTCTTTTAGTGAAAATTAAAAATTTTTACATTAACATTAATGAAAAAATATATCTTTAAAAGTATAAAAGAAAATTTTAGAAAGGACTTAATTTTAAATGAGTTCTTGCTAATTAACCAGTTTTACATATTCGGCACGTCATTTATATATAAGCATATGAGATAGTGAAACTTACGTACCTTTTGATAAAACAACTTGCTTTGATTAAGAAGTTGTCAGCTTGGTCGGCGACACTTCGATTAAAACTCATAAGTCAGGTTCCCCAAGGAAACCTATCACTAGTCAACAATTTTTGAAAAGTTGTATGCTTCTTAAACGAGATTAGCTAATTTTTATGAATTTTCATGTCCTGAATCCAAATATCACCTTGAAAAATGCTTATTTGCTATAGGTTTAAAGATACATACAAGATATATAATATTTGATTATTTAATTCTAACGAACAATATGTGTCAGTATGTTTTAAACTCTGCCTCTTGCCAATGTCCAACAATATTCTGCAAGCATTCTTGTCCACCATTTGCCCTGGTACCATTTGGATGGTCCAGTGGGTTAGAGCATCGTGAATTTTCGCTCACCCTGAGGCGGACAAAAATAACATGGGTTCGAGCCCCCGACTAGTTGCAGTGTTGCTATTGATTACATACCACGCGTTAATGGTTACAGTACTATATATACTGCTTGTGGATGCTAGTACACCAAACGGTGAGTAGAATGAAATTAGCTCAGAGGCACCCACACCATCGTATATCCTCGGATCATGGTACAATGCCTAGCTCTGCTGGGTGCGTGATCTCTGTAGGATTGGATGGTCCACTGGGTTAGAGCGTCGTAAATTTTCGCTTACCATGAGGTGGGCTACAACAACACGGGTTCGAGCCCCTGGTTAGTCGCAGTGTTGTTATTAATAAAATACCACTCGTTCGTCGTTACAATTATTATTATTATATATATATTATATAATATATATATATATTGGAATTTATCTGGAGAGAGTTCCGGGGGTCAACGCCCCCGCGGCCCGGTGTATGACCAGGCCTCCTTAGGTCAGTGTCCCAGGATGCGACCCACACCAGTCGACTAACACCCAGGTACCCATTTTACTGATGGGGAACATAGACAACAGGTGGAAAGAAACACGTCCAATTTTTCTACTCTGGGTGGGAATCGAACCCAGGCCCTCACCGTGTGAAGCGAGAGCGTTAACCACCAGGCCACCAGAGCCCTTATATATATGCAAAACAACCACTGTGAAAGAATAGAGAAATTCCAAGCGATTTCGTGACTACTCACATTATCAAGGAACAAACATTCACGAAATCGCTTGGAATTTCTCTATTCTTTCACAGTGGTTGTTTTGCATATTCTGAAATCACCTGTTTACTGTGATCTTATTGCATATATATATATATATATTATATATATTATATATATTTATATATATATATATATTATTATATATATATATATATATATATATATATATATTATATATTATATATATATATATATTATATTATATATTATAATGCCAAACTTGCCCAATAGGCCGAACCTTCTTTATTTTATTTTTTTTTACATATTAATAGATACACTTTTCAATGAATGTAAAAATTATTTTTTATCGAAATTAAATACAAGAAAAAACTATCACATTGATGTGCCACATATTAAGAAATCCCATGCAAATAAAAGGCGCCAAAATTTGAAATACCCAAAAGATGGAAAAAAAAAGTCCCAATTTCT